GCCCCATAGTCGCGAAGACCTGTTCAGTGTTGGAAACCGGTAATCTAATCCCCAGGGCTGGGAGTGATGGACCACATAAGGCCCCGGTAGTCTATGCTTGATATTGAACCGGATGATAGCAAGACTACCTACCACCAAAGTTGAATGATAGTGGTGGGGTTCGAACCTAGGCCTATAGGGTCCAAAGCACTCCGGTGATAGTGACCACCACCCCAAACTGACTACTGTACTGTTTATCTATCCGACTGTTCAGTTAACCGAGGCATGCGACAAAAGATAGGCCATTTTCCACCACTAGTTTAACAACCTTACATTAATTGATAAAAAGTGACTTCGTTCACTACTGATCTGAATGCAAGGTCTAATTTATATCCGTAATTTTAACCGATTTGATTTTCTTTTTACACAATGTAACGGTCCCATATGTTCACTTACTCGATTTTCGGCCAAGTAAATATGAAACTTGAGTTATTGCAATTCACCATGCATTTATTCATTTTGCTTTCGAGCGATCGTGTCTCTACACTGCCTGTGATCATTGTTGAATTCTGTCCTACCGAAATTTCAATTTTGACAGTTCTCATCTTTCCGGTACAACGGATGATAAGGGTTCGACGAACATGGAGCAAAAGGATGGCGATTACCATAATATGGGAGATCATCCTTCTGTGATCGGTTACCCCAACACCGGCCCGGCGGGTTCCAAAGGTCAGAATATAGTTCTTGGTACACAAACAGGCAGTGACGTTACGCTGTCAAACTGTTCTACCACGTCGTTGCGTTCCGACCGACTAAGTGTTGAGAAAGCTGATGGTTCCCGAGAAGATGCATTATCCGTGCAACGTAGTCGTCAGCAATCGAATTCCTTACCAGTGCGTCCATTGAACCGTCTGTGATTTAATGCCTTGGTACTTGTTATTCTTTAGAAATTGTCTATGGCAAAATTAGTTAGGTTCAATTTACTCGATTTCGTTTTTAAGTTTTTAGAACGCAATCTAGGTCTGTAGGTAACATTTCACAGTGTACTAACAGTTATGTTGGTTTAAAATCCACGATTGACCTGCATTGTATTCACTGGTCATGATTTCACTTTTGAGTTTCAGTTCCCTCTCACCGTAGTTTTTCGATGGAAGCGGATTATCGCAGACTGTAATACATGAGGCCGTCTGCAAGACATAGGCAAGACAAGTCTCTCAGCCATTCACATAAAACCGTGATTGCAATTAAATAATGAAGCCATTAAGTTTGGATGGTGGTGGCGTTGTGGTTTAGTCGCTGTCACAGGTGTTCTTTGGACCCTATGATCCGAGGTTCGAGCCCCGCCACCGCCACCCAACTTTGGTGGTAGGCAGCTGTGCTGTCGTCCAGTTCAATACCGCATCTAACCTAGCAGGGCTTTATGTGGTTCGCCACTCCAAGTCCCGAGGCTTAGGTTGCCGATTAAAATCACTGAAAAGCAGGTTTTCGTGACTATGGGGCTTCCCCCGTCTGCTGTTCATGACAGGATAGTGTGTAAAAAAAAATCAACTACATTTTTTTTACTGCGACTGGCCCCTTGAAAAGGATAAGCCGGCTCCATGATCATGAAGTCCTTTGGGAGTTTGATACGAGAGACGTCCCCAGCGTCACTCAGCGTTTTTTATTTTGAGGGCGCACCTCTAGCCTTTGCATAACCAAGTGCGAAGTTCTAGACAACAGGAAGTAATTCCTGACCTCAGAATTGAGGGGGTCAATGACTTAAGTTTTCAAAAGCCAGTCACATCGACCTTTGCCACGACGCAGTCATTAGGCTTATGCGGCTTTTAAACAGGAGCCAGGTGACCATCCCGATATCCAACACACCCTGATAGTGCCGCCGCCGTTTGTTCGCTACTGCTTATTTGTTGCGGTATGCCACAAATTATTCACAGCTAACCTTTGGTGAAGGTATCCCCCTATCCACAACCGGGGGACGCGCCTGGTAGCATTCAGCTCTGCTTAACCCGAGGGTGTCAACTACACCTCCCTTTTGATGGTTCTTTCAGTGGCATATGTATAATTATAGTGTGATAGTTCAAAAAGGCACTGTAGAGCTGTTCAAGCCTTGTCAGCACTAATCAGTGATGTGCTATTTTACCTGCCGATACTGGGTTCGCAAAAATTCGGATTGGGGGATAGAATCTGTATGATTGATAATTAGTGGGTCTACTTTTCTTTTATATATAACCTTTATATTATTATATAATATATATACATATATGTATATATATATTATATAATTCCATTCAATTCGCTAACAGTTTTCAGGAGGGTGCTGCGGCTTTCTAAGGGTGATGGCGCAGTGGTTTTTTTCACGGTCACCGGCATGCTTTGGACCCTATGGTCCGTGGTTCTATCCCCGCTACCACCACCCAAATTTGGTGGCAGACAGGTGTGCTGTCGTCCGGTTCAGTACCGTATCTAACCTAGTAGTAGTAGTATGTGGTTTGCCACTCTCAGTCCCGGGCTTAGGTTTCCGGTTTACACCAATAAACAGCAGTTCTTTGTCACTATGGTGTTTAGCCCGTCTGCTGTTTATCACACAAAGGTGTGTGTGATAAAAAATAAACGGAGGGTAGTAAGTTAGGTTTCACTGTTTGAATTCATACACAACCCTCTGGTCGATTTTATGATAATTTATACGAATTCCCCACCGCCATCTGCTGACATCACAGGGCGGTGTTCGAAGTGTCTACCTTGGGGTTGTGACAACACTGGATAGGAGACTTAGATGTTGGAGATCTCGTAACCAACTTCATCAGTTTTTAGAGATAGCAGGCAATAGGTCTGAAAATCGTAAGTACTGATGCTGCTTTATCTACTGACTTTCTACACAATCGATTTATCCTGGTACTCCTTTCAGCTTTTAGTTTGGTTTTTCCACTTACTTTATTGATCGACCAAATGAGTGACCAAACGACAGTGGTCTAAACCGGCGGACGAGAGCGCTGGCTTGGATAGTAATAGTTTTTAGGCGCTAATTCTTTTCCTATCAACGTGGAATTCGCGCCCAATCCAAGTCAAGTTTATCTTTAATCCAGAATAAGCTTTGGCTGAACTTTCGGTGATCTCGAGCCGGTTTCATTTGACAGGCTAAAATTAAAAATCAACATTGGTTTTTGGTATTCCCTAAGGTCATAATTTTCCTATTTGATTTTTTAACTCTTTTAGTATAAGTAAATGTTACATAAAATTTATGCTTGCTATTTCCCCAATCATTTCAGCTTCCACCCATGGGTCGTGCAACAGCTCAAGTTAATCCCATTATGACGGCGTCTGGCCGTGGTCTCCAAATGATTTCAAGTGGCCCCTTGATCCCACCCGGTGCACCTCTGTCTTTCGCTTCAGCCCAACCGAACAGTAAGAACCGCTCCGATCTCCACTTTTTTACTTTTTCTAGTTTCTTCTTCGTTATACATGGAGGCTCTCTCATTAACCATCTGGCAATTCTACACAAGCACCCGACAGTCTAAAGCCAAATATGCCAAGAAGGTACATCTAAGAAACGCCTTACTTGAAGTAGTATCTGGTGTTTTCAAAAGTAAGTCAGCTTACCTGGGTTTGTCATTTTTAGTTTTTGAATTAAACATGTATGGCTTTTTGTGTTACATTTTCATCTTTTATGCTGAACTTGCCACCAAATCAAAATATTCGTCCAAAACTTGAATCCATTAATTATGGATAAATTAAGTTTGGGAACTTTTTCTAGACAGAAACAGTTAGAAATCCTCGTCGTCCAAAGAGCAAAACTATAAGATTCGATTTCGGGAGCATTATAAAGTTGCTTCTGTTTGGTTTATTGTTGTCACTAACAATCTGTCGCTCTCATTGAGACTGGAACTTGCGATCCCACTGACAGAAGGTATGTGTGCTACTTATTTGACGACCAAACAGCTTATAAGACAGTTTCATTTTAATCAAATACGATTTGATCGTCAGCTTTTTTGGGCGGTTACCCTTTAGTAATTTAATACTAGCCACCATAAACTGGTTGGCAACGTCCCTCGCGTGACCAATCGGTACATCGAAGTGGCGAAGAGTTTAATCAAGGTATAAGGTTTATTTCTTCGTATGTACAAGGTTACGTTAACTTTAAGTTTAAAAAGCGTTATATAGCCGTTCGGACTTTACGGATGATCATTCACGATGTGACTCCATTCGTTGTGATGAGCGATCAGATCTGGAATATGTTCGACCATGTCAAGCTTCAGAGGCTATTACAAGGTCAGTTTATTCCAGTGCGCTTCCAAAAATGTGTATCACTAATGGTGTTTTGTCTGGTGAAATGTGCATACTCATCGGTAAGCCCCAGTCGCGTTTTGCATCACTTGTCACAGTGAAATGTCAGCTCGCATACAGAAGGCTCGGTTGGCATTTGCCAACTTGAGACATCTGTGGCGCCGTCGCGTGCGCATACAAAAGGCTCGGTTGGCATTTGCCAACTTGAGACATTTGTGGCGCCGTCGCGAGTGCATACAGAAGGCTCGGTTGGCATTTGCCAACTTGAGACATCTGTGGCGCCGTCGCGACACACAAAAGGCTCGGTTGGCATTTGCCAACTTGAGACATCTGTGGCGCCGTCGCGACATCCGACTGTCCGTAGAGGGTCCAGCGTATACTGCAGCAGTTCGGTCAGTTCTTTTAGACGGTACAGAGGCTTGGCCATTACAAAAACAGGTTATAGACGGACTGTTAGTGTTCGAACACCATTGTTTACACAGCATTTCACGAATTTGGTAGGGAAACCGGGTAGGCAATGCTGAGGCTAGGCGCTGAGTTTTAGGTAACCGTTGTCGCCCACTGGGGCGATTGGTCGACCTCCCTATACTACGTTGGTTGAAGCGTGTGTTATGCATGTCACCAAATAGATTGCCACGACATACGGTGTTAACCGAAGCTGGTAGTGGGTGGAAAAAACATGGTCGGTT